GTTTTAAAAAAAAATTCCTAAATGCACAAGTGAACAGAAAACCCTAACCGTCAGACTAAATGGAGAAAAAATGTGATTTGAGTTTACTCCCTTTCCGATGTTCAGTGCTTTTGCCAGCACGTGAGAGGGAGAAGGTTGAAAACTAGTAGTTTCTACGCTCAACATAAAATCTAGAGGATGTCTTGGAGTTTTTGGTCAGAAGACATGGCGATGTTATTCTTCGTCTGGATTTATTGAGTTCTTATGATTTCCTTGATTGGGTTTAGTTTTTTTTTGTGAAGTTTTTAGTGAAGGTTTTTTTCTCCTCGTAGAATATCTATATTTAGTTTCTAGTCAAATTTGGTTACATATTTGATTTAAGTTTTGAAGTTCAAACTTGTTCAATGGCGGTTTCAGTGAAGCTAACTCGGAACAAAATTGACAAAAGCAATAAAAAAAGGAGATTTATTTAAATAAAGAGAATTGTTATCATGTTATCGTAATAGATTTTGGAAGTTCGGCTGCTATTGCGGATTCGGAAACACTTAATTGTCTACTTTCGATTCGAAACAAAATCATTTTGGTATCGTTAATGTGTTGTCAACGATTAGTATCCTCACTTAATTTCCGGTGCGGAAATGATCATTAGTTTCTCTTTGTATTTCATATGTTGAACTTCTTCAATGATGTAATCTATTTTAAATCAGTGTCAATAAAATAAAGTGTTAAAAAAAAGCACTAAGTGAATTGGTTTCGAATAACACTCGGATTTAAGAAGAAGTAAGTTTAAATCATGCTCCAAATTATTATCGCGTTATTTAACCAGTTGCGCGCTGGTTTATTTGTTAGTATTACGGGTGTACGTTCAATAATAACAAAATATAGATACATATGTGTTTATCATATAATTCAAAGATTTGATATACTTGATAAAATTAATTTCCTATTTTAATTGATAAATGTATTATATAAACAAAAGAGACATATTAAACAATTTGTCCTACCAAACAAAAAAAAATCTACATATTCAATAAAAACATTATATTAAAACGGAAAGAGTATTATTTTACTTTTTTTTTAACACTGAAAAACAATTTTATTATAACCGAAAACCGGTATGGAGAGAATACAAAAATTCAAATAAGACATCAATAGGTGTTATACAATACGAGAAACAATGATTCAGGTTGTAAAATTATGGATAATCCCACACCTTAAGATGATAAGCAACATCATCCTCTTGACATTCCAAACTGGTTATCATATACTCGCATATCCTATAGCGAACTCGGCCTCCATGAGAATATGAAACTGAAATAGCCATTCACAAGCAACATACGACAAAAGCATCGTCTTAGGCTTGTAATTGAGAGAACATGACTCATCAAGTTCTTCACTTTTCTTACGGTAAAGGCAATATCAAAAATACGACTCGTGAACATCCTCAATAGAGGCATTGAGCAGAGCATATTTCAATCATATCATATGAGTAGAGAGAAACAAACAAAACCACCTAGAACCAATTAATACCAAACCAATACAAACCCGGCAAATGATCGAAAGTGGTGAGGAACCTTAAAGACCAACACTATAACCATGGAACCATAACATCAAAGACACCAACCAGAACCACAAGCAGAAAGATATCTCTGCTTCAAACATAGCTAAAACTCTATCACACCAAAACAACGAGAGGAGAAACCACATCCCACGGCAAGAAGATGTGTTGTAACCAACGGTGAGAACCAAAACCAATTGCAGATCTGGATCTGTTAATCGAGAGAGATGGCTTTTGTTGCCGATGTAACACCGTTGGCTTGAAAAGGCTCGGACCCTCCATTCCGACTAAGAGACCACCAACAAGGCAACTGAGATTCATGGGCCACCCTACGAGTTTTACTTCCAACAAAAACAACCATGACGACAAAGAAACACCTTGAATAAATTGAGTTAAAAAAGATTAAATATGCAGACAAGATGACCGGTGACCGATACTGAAGGAGCGACCGGCCACCGGCCAAAACAAAGGTTAGCCGCAGGCGCTTCTGAGAACTAGGGTTCTATCCATCATATATGATTTTTATGAAATAAAACATTGAGTATTATTTTACTTATATTTGTAATCTTGTCAGATCATGTGATCAGAGTTTCAGATGTTATAAGACATGATTAAGTAAAAAAAAAAGGCTTGAGACTTATTTAGAAAATGTCAAACAGTACATATATATGTTTTGCGTTGAATATAATTGGATTTCATACTATAAGTACTACTGTTTGAAATGGCTTTTGTTGGAGTTTTAGTACGAGTTTATAAACTTTTTTTTTTTTGAAAAAGATCGAGTTTATAGACTATATACTAAAATTTCGTAGTATTTTTTGGGCTCCAAAATTTTGGCATTTTTTAATTATAATAATGCTAGTTTTTTTTCTACTTTTATGGGGCAATTACAAAAATATCACTTTTTGTGTTCACATTTGCAAGAATGTCATTTAGGGGTGTTCATTTACAAAAATGCCACT